GCACATATTTGCACAACGCCGACCTCGAACGCTTCAGCAATGCGCTTTAGCCATATTTAATTTATTACCTTTGTGTTAAATTTATGCATTATTAATACAAATTTATGCCCCCCAAATTTTGGGGGGCTGTAATGTGATTGGTCAATCAGGACAATGCCGAAGCTCATTGACCCAGCCGTTAAGTGGGCGAGTGGCGAGAACACAACGGCTGGAATCTGAGCCTAATGCAAGCCAGGCGCTTAAATTTTTCGTAAATAGCCTAATTTTTTTATGTTTTTCATGGGTTCAAAACAAAGTTGATTATTTCTAGGTTAGAGCAGGATGAATATTATTCTTTAATGAAAGAAATAATATTGCTTTTTGCAAATATACATGACAGTATCAACGCTATACTATTTTGTTACGTTTTGTTCCAAAAATGTTGGACGTCTCTGGGGGAGTTGCTTGTTATGTCTTGACTTATGGAGTTGTACGCCTGGTTTGATTTTGTTTCATTCTCAGTTTATTCTGAACTTGCCAAGATTAAGAAAGGCAAAAGAGTTTGGGTGTTCTTAACAAGATTTCAGATCGTTGCAGAAGTTAGAAAATTCATTCAATGTGAACTAGTTAGAAAATTCACAATTCCATTTTGACAGCTAGCATGCCCTAATTCAGAACTACGAACGAACGATCCATAATGATCCTTCGTGATGCAGTGGTCTCATGAAATAAGGAAACGTATTCGTGCCAGGAACACACGCGGATTTCGGACGAATAAATGTGGCTTGTATAATAATACTTTGTTTCATAATAAACAATTTGTCAAGTGTCATTTATTTACTGGTAGTAGTGCATGTTTCAGTCGGGCAAATCTTGATTAATATTTGATACGCCGTTTTTTGCATATTTCAGACACATCCAGAAATATGCTCCCGATTTTAAACACTAATATCTCCGTGAAAATACAACTGTAATATATCAAAATCTAAGTTAGTCCTTCCTCTATTTGATACAAGTTATTTCTCTTTAAAAGCTTTACTTGGTTAGAAGTTATTACGAATCAAACCGGAGTACTTTTTTTTGGGACACCCGGTATTATTATATATTATTATTATAAATTTCACGTAATAACATAGGAGTTTAAAAGGAAAATCGAAGAAAATGACGTGTTGGCAGAAGCACAAGAAATTTAAACGCTGCCACCATACAGAGATGTACATACTATATAGCCTTCTCTAAAGGCTAAGGTGAAGGCAAAATATAATTTCCCCTTGATCCGGTGACTGTTGTTTTCCCTGCTGTCTCAGGGCCAGACTATATTGTGTACACCTGAGATTTTTGCAGGTGTGCTAGCAATGTTTAATTAAATAAAATTTTATATTGACCAAGAATGCTAATGTTATTATGATTAAAATATGAAATTTAGTCTTAAATACTAAATTTCATGCAATATGCCGCAATATTGTACACTTATATTAAAATTTAAAAAAATAATTTAAACTATAACTAAAAATGTTTCGACGATATACTGACCGTTACATTAACTGATGGATTTCTATATTTTTGATAGTGTATTTCAAATGTTTCAAAACAAAAAAAATCAAGCAGGAAAATCGATTCATGCAAATCATTCATAATTAAAACAGGCGAAATCATAGTTTTAATTAACAAGCCTCTCGGGTTTAAATTGGTGCGACATGCAAATTAAATTAAATTTTAAGAGATAACGCTTTCCTCTACAGAGGCGTTAAACATGAAGGCTAGCTATATATAATTAAACACACGTGGTATATCACTGGAAAAAATAGTGAAATCCGGTGCAGCAATCTAAACAACTGAGCTACATTTAACGTAACCGCAAGTTCAACTCATAGTGAATATGGAACTTTTTCAGTTCAACTTTTTTTACACGGCTCTGGAGAATATAAGATTGCAGATAAATGAAAGATTTTTCGCGGCTGTTGAAAAGTATATAATCTTACGACTTACGAATCGTTTCTTCATACCAAATGTTTTTTATTCTTATGTTTATTTCTGTGTGTGTCCGCAAGTGAGGGTCCTAGATATCTTTCCTTTTTTGTCGTTAAAAATGGTTATACCAATTGCGTATTGAAATGACGTACCGTATTGATGCACCATAGTGTATATAAAATCACTAACATTGGTGGGGTTTGTTTTTGCAATGTTCCTATTTCTGTTGTCTCAAGTCATTTTGCACGCGATTCTAGGTGTTTATCAAAAAGAAATTTGTGTGGCGTTTTCGGGCCACAGCTGCTTCAGCGTATTGAATGCTATTAATTATTTTTAAAATCATATGCACAGTGTCGTTTTTCAAAACCATCCCACTTTTCATTCTACCTTATCTTCATCTTTGCATGAAGGAATCGATTCGTGCATCGTGATTTTGCGGACTACAATGGTGGTTGTTGGTGTTATTTTGTAGCCAAATCTTGAAGATACCATGATCGCACATGTTGGAAAGTGAGCCCTATAAATTAGAGCTATCTTGTTAATATTGTTTCCACCAAGCATCAAGCTGTTTTCATAATTCAAGAAGTGGACACCACGACGAACTTCATTTAGGAATAATGATATATACTTGATATTACGTAAGGGTTTGGATCTTAATCATATTTTAATTAATCAATCAATTAATCAATCAATCGTTCATTCACGCTTTCTGAAAGTCTCGAAACATCCAGCGTGCATGGATTACGCAATCCTGCATGGAAAACCATTTGGTATTCCTTTAGTTTAGTATATGATCACTGTATTCATTTAGTCATTTTTCTGAGTGTGTAAAAATATAGCAAACAGATTAATCATCACATTAATGTTCAGCGCTACACAGTGTAAAGTAATAAAGTAGGGTGCATCAGGGCACATTGCCATTTAAATGGTGAACAGGATGCATGAAAAGATTGAATGAATAAAACAATGGCACCTCCGACGGGATAGAAATTCGTAGTTTTATCCAAGAAACAGCTGTATTTTGGGTAAAAAGAGTTCAAGTATGGAATGAAGCAGCCAACACCTTTCATGATGATCAAGGTACGGTTAAATCTTCAAAGGAACAACGACAATGTATACGAATGTCGGGGCAGACTGTAAGGGCATTATCCAACATACCTGCTGGATCAAGATACACCGAGACGCTTGTAGTAATGGGCGCCTATATTCGCATCTTGACTAAGCTGCGAGAGGTTCACTGGATATCACGATTACGACGGTTGGGAAGAAAAGTGAACAAGAAGTGCAATGGCTGTAAACGATTTCGGGCAGTAGCAGTTGGCAATCCTTCACCTGAAAATCTTCCGACAGATCGAACATTTGGATTCTCTGCATTCCAGATGATCGGTGTTGATTACGCGTGGCTTATTCCCTACAGTACGACGAAGAATCGAGAACGGAAATCATACATCCTTCTTTTTGAAATGTTTTATTTAACAATGTAATGAACAAAACTGTAGAAAAATCGGTAATAAAGTACTGAACATCTTGCGAATCTAGTTTTTGCACAAACAATGCGCTTTTGTGTCTCTGTCACGTAACTTAAAATGTGAAACTAATATGAATGCAACATGAAGTTTTAGAGCGCCTTTTTCAACACTCCTCCTCACTCGTATAAGTACATGTTTAGTCAACTGTTCATTGTTGATCTTCTCTTGAGTTTAATCCAAGCATTTTTCGAAGCTTCGTAAACCTTGCCGGGCTTAGGGCCGTTTCAGACTGCGTACTTATCATGTGCCGAACTTAATTGATGAATTAGTTACGGCAGAAGAGCGACGTATGAATCAATTAAGTACGGCAGAAATTGGAGCGGCAAAAGTTCGACACAAGTTCAGCACAGCTCGTCGCATTATGCGACGTTAGAGCAACATTGATTCATACGCCGCTCCACTCACGTGCCAAACCTAATTCAACTTTAGTCTAAAAATAAACTTATTTGTTTTGAATTATTTAGGTTTCGTTGGCGAATGCGCCCCAACCTTGTCAATAACATAGTATTTGGTACGCCGTTTGAATCACTGCCGTTCTTGTGTCGCTCCAGTGTCGCATCTAATACAATTAAGTTCGGCACATGAAGAGTACGCCGTCTGAAACGGGCCTTAGTCCCTTAGTTAAAATATCTGCGATCATTTCATCAGTGCGACAGTATCACAGTAGCTTTAGCAACCTGTTCTCGAATGAAATGGTACTTAATGTCAATGTGCTTTGCTCTTCCATGGAACTGTGCATTCTTAGCCAGGCAGATTGTTGCTTGATTATCTTCTAGTATCATTATTGCGTCAGTTGGTTTGCTCTTAAGATCAGTCAGAAGTTGCCGGATCCAAACTGCTTCTTGTGTTGCACCTGCCAGTGCTACATATTCAGCTTCTGCTGTGGAGAGGGCGACACACGATTGTTTTTTGCTTCTCCAACTGACGGCTGCGTTGCTTATCTGAAAGACATACCCGGATGTCGATATCCGGTTGTCAACATCTCCGGCCCAGTAGGCAGATGAATAACCAATGCACTCATTTCTTTTCTTCCATTGTAAAGTAAACCAATGTCCCGAGTTCCATTCAGATACCGCATGATCCATTTAACCGTAGCCCAGTGCTCCTCCTTTGGATCTGCGCTGAAACGTGCGACTTCACTCACTGCATATATTATGCTACATCAGGTCTTGTTTTCGTAGATAGGTAAAGCAATAGGAAATGGTGTAATTCGCCCATATTTTTCATCTCAAATTGGTCAGCGTGTGCTTGCTTTACTTCATTGATTTGTTGATCAGTCTTTCCAGCTAAGAGGATATCATCGACATATACGGCAATGATGAATATCTCTCCAAATTCTTCCTTTACGTAAATGCAGGGATCACTGGTGCTTTTCACAACCCCATTTTCTTCAATTTGCTGTCAAGAACAGAGTTCCAACAACGTGGGGATTGTTTGAGACCATAAATGCTTCGACGTAACCTGCAGACTAGGTGTTCCTTTCCCTTCTTTACAAAACCCTCTGGCTGTTTCATGTAGACTTCTTCCTTTAGTTATCCGTTCAGTAATGCAGTAGTGACATCCATTTGATGTAGTTTCAATCCGTGTTGTGCAGCAAGTGCAATTACAGCCCATTACAGTTCGAATTGAGTCCAACCGAGCTACAGGTAAGAACGTTTCATCATAATTGTCGCCAAACGTTTGACTAAAGCCTTGAGCTACCAAACGACCCTAATATCTTTCAACAGTTCCTTCCGCATTTGTCGTGACTCGAAATACCCACTTGCTTCGAACGACTTTCTGATTCTCCGGTGGTTCCACCAAATCCCATACTTCATTAGTTTCGAGGAATGCCATTTCTTTTTCCGTTGCTTTTATCCATTTTGCCTTTTGGGGACTTGCCAATGCTTCTTTGATGGTTCTTGGCTCGTTGACATCATTATTTGCAGCAGTGGCCCAATCACCATAATAGTCGGGTGGTCTTCTATGTCTTTCTGCATGGTCTTCTTTGGACTTCGGCCTCGGGTACTTCATTAACATCAAGCTATTCAAATGCTGGAAATTCAAGTTCCACATAGGTGTTTTGCTTCAGCTCCTGATATTTTAAACTTTCAGTTCCTTGAGAAGATTCATTAAACTGGACATCACGACTGTGGAAGAGGTTTGCACGTTTTGGATCGTAAAGACGATAATCCCTTCGTTTCAGTACCATAACCGAGAAGAATACACTTTCGGCTTTGGAATCCGTTTCTTTTTTTCATCTTTTGGCACATGGGCATATGCTTCACATCCAAATACGCGCAAGTGATTAACATTAGGTTTCTGACCTGTCCAGGCTTCAAAAGGGGTGTTTCCTTTCACTGGAGTTGATAGACTTCTGTTTCCGATATATGCAGCTGCTGAAAGCATTTTTGCCCAGAACCTGTGTGGAAGCTGTGCATCAGCCAACATCGATCTTACCGACTCAACCAATGTCCGATTCATTCTCTCAGCCACCCCGTTTTGTTCTGGTGTTTTTGGCACAGTTAATTGATGTGTTATTCCTTCTTTCTTCAGGTAATTTTCAAACTCTGTTGAGGTATATTCACCCCCATTGTCTGTGCGAAAAACTTTAAGTCTTCTTCCAGTGGATGTTTCGACTAATGCTTTCCACTCTAAAAATTAATTTTCCAAATACTTCGTCTTTGTGGTCAAGACATAGACCCATACATAATGAGTATGATCATCAATAAATGTTAAAAAGTACTCAGCTCCGCCAAGTGATTTTGCATTCCTCTTACCACATACGTCACTGTGTACTGAATCGAGTGGTTCTTTGGCACGTTCACCACCATTTACAGGGAATTTACTACGATATATGATGTTTCCCATCAACACAAGATTCACATCAATCAATATCTTTAGACTTGTCATAATCAAAACAATCAACCAAGTTTTTTCTCGCAAGCTTTTGGAGGTTTGAACGCCAAGATGTCCGTATCGTTTGTGCCCAGGTGAATTCTTTGCTTTCCAGGTTTGACTTTTTCACGGTAGAGTTTGCTTGATGACTTCTCGCACAGCTCAGATAATATAAATTTCCAATTCTGTTAGCAGTAGCAATTTTCTTTTGACTTGACATCCATCTTCATCTATCTTCACAGTTTTTCCAGACTTTGTAGCTTTAGACACATTCACCAGGTTATGCGACAAATTTGGGACAATAAAGAACATCTGGCAATGCACATCTCCTTGTCTTTGGGCTGCTTGAATATTTTATTTCTATTGCCAAAGGCCCACAACACCTCGTCCAGTTGCCTTTACAACATGTCCATTTCCAAGTGCCACGTCTTCAGGCTTTTCCAAGTTATACAATTCAATAAACAGGCTAACATCATTGCACAAATTACAAGTTTCTCCAGAATTTATTATCCAACCCATGTATTTGTAATTCTCTCATTTCCTGAACTAAGTAAATGCATCATTTGCCATAAATCCCACTTCATCACTATCCGAGCTGGCAAGCTATTGCCTTTCAGTCTAATTTCAGCCGCATTGTTAGCCTTATGATTGTCAATCTGACCTGTTTTTTCATCATCATGCTTTGCAGTGTTCAGTTCTCTATAGTTTCGTTTAATATGACCAAACGTTCCACAATGGTAGCACTTAGGACCCTTGCATTTAAATTGTCTGTTTACAAACATAGCTTTCATTTCATCCTTTGTTTCAATCTCATATTTTCCCTTCATTTTTCGTTCTTCGTGCTATAAACGTTCTATCACAGTTTCCATTTTGGGAGCATCGGAATTTGCCTCAAGGACCTTTACCAGTAGATTTAATGACTCAGGTAAACTTGCTAACAAATGAACAACTCGATCCTCCTCCGTAATATGGTCATCAATAGCTGCTGGTCCATCACATATTTCAGTCATCTCCTTAATGTGTTTTTGAATGGGTTTGCTGTCTTTTAACCGTAATGAGTACAGTTTCCGTCGCAAAGCCAATTTATTAGCCCATGTTTTAATTTCTTTTTGAAATTGATCAGCTAGCCTCTTCCATACCAAACCACACCATGGTCTTGCTGATCTCTAAGGAGGTACAATTACATCGGCTCAACAGACAATACAATGGTTGCAAGAGCATGATCTCTTCTCGCGACAAATTTTGCATATTTTTGAGCTTCTTCTTGACTCGGCGCCTCTTCGCCTTCGGTCAAGATTCGCCACAAACCATTTCTCATAAGTGCCAACATTGCACCTTCCATGTAGGATAATTCGTATACCATCCATGTAGGATAATTAGTAGTAGTGTATGTGGTTTTCGACCCGGATTTTTGAGGAGGAGTGAGGAGGAGTGAGGAGGAGGAGTGTGGTGGAGTAAGGAGGAGTGAGGAGGAGTGAGGGTGCGTAGTGACGTCACTCGTTAACACACGTCATAATTATATGCAATGACGTCACGCGGGCGAGCTTAAACACGATCGGACAAAACTTGCTGACTAAGCATTTTGTTTTAGCGTCCCTCCACGTGTATGATACAATAGTTAGGGCTATACACAAGAGAATATGTTGTTGTCTGGAGTTTTATAAGTACAGCTCTAGCATTTTGCTGTTATTGTCAAGTGATTCCTTTAATGTAGCTGCTAGAGGAGTAAAAAATCTGATACTATATGAAATAGCATTAG